ATTTTTATGCCCAACCAAATGACTGAACCTATTATTCCATCCCTCACACTCGTTGTTGGTTCTATTCAGGGTCGTAATTTCAGATTTTGAAAGGGTGGGGCAGGTGATTAAATTTGCCGACTTTATAATATTTGAAAAATTATGGTTACCTATATATTTAATATTTATGGACGGTAGACCATCAACAAAATATCTTTTCGAAACAAAACATGTAAGAGTTAGTAATGACTAATTAATAATGATATCATGATGGTAAACAAAGAACACGAAATGTTTCAATTAACCCAATTAAATAATAACATTAAAGATAGTAAAAAATTAATTAATTTACTTATCCTATAAGTTACCTATCAATAGGTTTTTAATAGAATAATAATATAAATCTAATTAAATAAATACTTATAATTTTATTATTTGTATATTTAAGAGGACGTGATACCCTCATGTGTTGTCTCCGTCTTACAAGTGCTCAACATACCACATTTTACGCTCAGCAGAATACGTATTAACTCCGTTAGTTTAAAAATTAGAGCGAATTTACCTCTTATAAAATCTAAAGGTAAGATTATTATCTAGGCAACCTCGAGGGTTTTTTATTATATTTTAGTTTTAACGTGAGTCATGAGTATTTTAGGATTTATAAACAATTTATAATTTTAAAATACTCTTAACTCGCAACAACAAAAAACGAGTACGGGCGAAGCAGGATATTCAGTTAGTGCATAGTTATACTATAATATTTAAAACATTAAAGTTTAAACAATATTTATTACGCTTTGATCCATATAAACTCATTTAGTTTATAGGTATACGTCCTATGGCATATCGCCCCCGAAAGCTAATGAAATGCAACTCAACATACATGGTGTCTTATCGTTATCACAGACCACAGTTCGTACAGAAAGTCGAAAATACAGACTGCCACTAACCACGGCCCATTCCACACACATACTTCTACGAATATAATTTATATAATAGCTACAAAATGCACAACAGTACAATATAATACACGTGAATATTGTAGAAAATGTGTCAATTAGAAAAATATAGTTGTTAATTTATCAGAGTAACTAGTAAATGGAAGGAGTACTAAAATGTGCGTGCAGGGTCTTTGGAAACGCGTGATCCTACTGTGACTTAACCTCAAAAAAATTACATGTAACGCCACTCCGACGTTCAGGAGCTTTAAAGTTTCAGCTTCATATTCGGCGTCGTGCGGCGTACGCTGGTTTTCGAAATAGAATTTTGGATGTCGTGTTTATTTTTTTTCCATCGACCGAGTTAGTTTTTATATTCATTGCAGTCCGGAATCCATAATTGTCACTCGCAAATATGGCCAAGTTCGATTTGACGAGCAAGATGACCAAATACCTGGACCGGCATTTGGTCGCCCCGCTGCTGGAGTTCTTGTGGGCGAAAAAGGTAAGCCTTCTTCTATTTTTCCCGTCTCAACCCGCCGGCAGACGAAATCCGTTCGATTACGGACACACAATTCATAGTAGAATTTAGTTTTGGTGAAGTTTCGGTAGTGAAAACCGAATTGTCCCGCGCTTTGTGTTTAGTACCTGTCTAACAATGTTGTTCAATTTTTGACTGACCCCAAACCATTTGTTTAGATTTACAACGAGAATGAAATTTTGCAAGCTAAATTAGACATTCTTAATAAGACTAACATGATGGATTATGTTATCGAAATTTACAAACAGTTGAATCCTGAAAAAGAAGTACCCGAGGTATGTACCTACACTGGCTACTATTATTGTAGAACTTGCAACCTACCTATGATACTTTTTATTTTATCGAAACTTTATTATATCAGGAAATGAAAACGAGGAGAGATCAAATTGTATCTCAGCTGAATCAATTTCAAAGTGAAGTTGATGTTGTGATGAATTTCCTTAAAGATGATAAAGTCATGAAAAATATGGAAACTATGCGGGATCCTAAAACACTGTCAACTTATTTGACCAATGAATTCAACGTAAGTGGTATTTCTATTCTATATAAATTATTATTCATGTTATTTTAAATTCCTTTAACCTTTAATCGGTTGATTTTATTTAAACTCAAATTTAAACTTGGATTACTTTAATTTTTAATTTACTTTTTCGAGGTGTACCTGCCTAACTATTATTAAATTACTTATGCAGTTAATATGAGGAGTACCTATACCTATTAAATGTATTTCTAAAAAATAATATTATTATAAGATAATAATATGAACTATAACTACCTAAATAGATATCAATGTTGTTGTAATATAATTAGTATAATGTTGAAATCTTATATTAATATAGACTGTTTCATATTCGTCAAATAGGTAAATGGACCTTGGTTATAGAGGCAATCCCAAAATCAGAATTTAGGAAAAATGGAGACTACCTTAGGGAGGGGGGGGGGTATAAAAAATGTATTTAATTATTATTATAAATTAAGAAAATATAAATATATTATAATATTAAAATATTAAATATTATATAAATTAAATTAAATCAAAAAATCCAATTTTCAAGGTTTGCAAAATTATTAATCACTTCTTCAGTGTCTATTGAAATACTTCGATGTATTGACATGAGGGCTAATCCTGTTAATCGATTTTCACTTGTACTATTTCTTAAGTACGACTTCAATCTTTTAAGCGTTGAAAATGATCTTTCCGATGATGCTGTTACCGGTAAAGTTACTAATTTGACCATAATATACTGAAACAACCAAAGTCAAAAAACAAACTAAATTCTGTTCATCGCGTTATATCTCTTATTGGTCGTAACTCGTAATAACTAATAAGTATATTATCGAGAATTTGAGTGGCCGTTAAAGTAGATACCACGAACTGAGATATATAGAATATAGATAAATATTGCTATAGAATATAGATATCATGACTATCGACGACGCACGAGTCTCACAACGGTCCTTCATTATCTCAACTACCTAGTATTACCTATTTCATATGAATTGTGAACAACTATTTTTATTTATAAGCCTCGCCTGTGATTTTCATTTTTGTTTTATCCCGTGTTGCGCTGTTGGTTTTTAGTTGATACATTGATTAAATAAATTTGTATGAGTGCTGTACCAACAAACAATTTTGGGGGAGATTTGACCCCCCCCCCCTATATACGCCACTGCAAGAGTTATCGCGACTACCATAATATCAAATGCACTTAATTTTTTTAAGTGAGGAAGAGCTTCCTCTCCACATCTCCCAAGGTTTTTCAATTACAATTGAACACCATGTTTTACTCTGAAGTCTAATTTTAAGTCATTGAACAAAAGCAATTTTTTGTTTAGTGTGCTTATAAGAACAAAGAATATTATGGAACTCAGTTGATAATAATCATGGTATAGAACTATATAGTATACCACTCTCATGGTAGTTGCGAAAACCTGAAATGACCATTGAAATGTATTAAACAAAATCATATAATATTTTACAAATTGTTACTTAATATCTAATTATTTAATCATCTACTTTATTGTTAATTTAGTTTAAAGTAGAAATGATGGAAAGTATGTACAAATTTGCCAAGTACCATTACGATTGTGGAAATTACGCTGGTACAACAAGTCATTTGTACTTTTATTTATTAGTTATGTCGCCTACTGATAAGGTAAATTCATCAATGAGTCAAATTCTTATTGAACTTATCTTAATACATTTATAATTTTTGAATTATTGTTTAGAACTACTTGAATGTTCTTTGGGGAAAATTAGCATCTGAAATTCTTATTCAAAATTGGGAAACTGCTCTTGAAGATTTAAACAAACTGCGGGAGTACATTGATTCCAATACTAATGGTTCTCCATTGCATTTGCTACAACAACGAACTTGGTTAATTCACTGGAGTCTATTTGTGTTTTTCAATCATGTCAAGGGGCGTGACCTTATTATTGACATGTTCCTATACAGGCCAAAGTAATATATTGTGAATACTAGTAACAATATTATATTATATTTTATATTTACAAATTAGTTTGTTATCAGCTATTTAAATGCTATTCAAACCATGTGCCCACACATTCTTCGCTACTTGGCCACTGCAGTAATCATCAATCGTTCCAGAAGAGCAGCTATGAAGGATCTTGTCAAGGTTATTCAACAGGTGAGTTTAACAACATTTGTTAACTTTAAACATTTAAATGAATTGTTTATTATTATAAGTATAAACTTTAAAAATGTATTAATACTAAAACTGTATTTAGGAATCATATACCTACCGTGACCCTATAACTGAACTTCTAGAAAATCTCTACGTTAACTTTGATTTTGAAGGAGCTAGAGACAAATTACACGAATGCCAAATTGTTCTTTTTAATGACTTCTTTTTGACTGCGTGCCTTGATGATTTTGTAGAAAATGCTCGTTTGATGATTTTTGAAACATTTTGTCGTATTCATCAGTGCATTAGTATTGGGTATGTATATATTGTAATTATAATTTCATAACATTTAAACATTTTTTTTAATATATAGTATGTTAGCTGAGAAGCTTAATATGAACCCAGAGGAGGCTGAATGCTGGATTGTAAACCTCATTAGGAATGCCAGGTTAGATGCAAAGATTGACTCAAAACTTGGGCATGTTGTTATGGGGACACAACCATTATCTCCCTATCAACAGCTTTTAGAGAAAATAGATACATTATCAGTGAGATCAGAAGCACTACAACAACTCATCGAAAGAAAAGTCAAAGCTAAAACTCAAGAAGTAAGTTAAATATTTTTAATTTTCCTTTATTATGTTTTTTCATAAAATTATATATATTTTGCAGCAAGATCCACTTTGGTACAATCCTTAAAAAGCTGTTAATAATGGTAAGTTCTCAACAAGTGTTATTATTCAATAAAACAATAATAATATTATTCATGAAATGTTATTTTATTTATTTCTTATTAGTAATTAAAATAACTTTCAATTAATTTGCTGAATTTTTTTGAAAACCTGAAAACCCTCGAAATCCATTTAAAATTAATTAACTGTAATAAAATAATGTTATCATTTAAGATCAGGTGTGGATGCTCCCAAGTAGTTGTGTAAATCTTGAATATTTGAAGATACCAATTTTACTTTTACTGTGTCCTTCTTTAAACGCTTGTGAGCTTCATACCGATGACATCCGCCAAATGAATAAAAGTAATTACCACCCTCTCTTCCTATTATCCATAACACATCTATTGGTGGTACTGAATCTGTAAGATCTGGATCCTAAATCAATAACTTTTTATTATATAATCTGTAAAATAAGTTTGTAAATTTAAATTTAAGAAAAAGCATATTTTATTTATGCAAATAAACAATTTTTTATATTTTATTCAGTAAAATGTGTATATTGTTTTCTTTAAAATAAGTAGAATGTAAAACTTCCAATTTTTTTTGTTTTAATTGTTACTATTTATTTGATGTATAATTTTTTTTGTACTTTTACATCATTAAATATTGTAATACACTTACTGACAAAGTATCCATTAAACTCTTAACCTTTTTTTCATCTACTTGCGGTGGAATTGGTCGTATGATTTCATTAAGAGGCATTTCATGTATTTGTTCAATACCAGCCGAGTGGACACTTGTACACCTTTTATTCATAACTAAAACAGTTTAGTTATTTGTAATGTCCGGAATACACAAGGCTAGTTTTTCAAGCTAGGTGTTCTCAGCGCCTATCCTGGCTTGAAACAATACTAGCTCAAAAAAATAGAACGCAATCCTATTAAAATAGCCTGCCTTGACATACTAGCATATTATTCACTAGGTTGCTAGCTTAAAAACAAAGCTAGATCTGTTTACATGAAACTAAAATTACTAGCATTCTAGCTTACTAGCATTACCTTGCTACCTTGCTAGCTTGAAAAACTGCCCTTGTGTGTACCGGGCATAAGACACATTTTGTGTCAGAAAGTAGATAAACCGCAAAAATTATAATCTGCAGAATTTTTCAAGCTTATTAAATTTAATTGTGTTGCAAATGACTTTAATATTGATATTATGATTATTAAGTTTTTTAATGCTTGCATTCAAGACAATTATTGGAACAATTGAATGTTTAAAAGTTTAACTCTTAATTTTGTGCTGGTATTGATGTCATTATAAGTTATTACTTTGTGTGTTTATAATTGGTAGTGATGTGTATCCCAAGGGTTGCGAAATTACTATATATTTTATGGCATACATTGATAAGTTGATAACTGACTATTATACTGTAATAATCTGGTAGACTGCTGGTTATAATAATTGTAATATAGCATAGTATCTTTAACTTTCCTTACCTAAATTTGTTCCGGATACTACAAATCTTTTAAATTGATTCATAACATTTGGATCGTGGGTAACAAATAAAATACTACTCTATAATTTAAAAAAAAAATAGTGGTTTAGTTATTACTTATTATGTAACTAATTTACACATCACACATCTTTCATGAATCATGTCTAATTATTGCCACTTCCAAGTTCCAATAACCAATGCCCATTGAGTATTTTTTATCATATAATAATTCCCACTCCCTTCGGATTGGATTTACATCTAGTTCTAGAATGAAAATACCTATAGACTATAAAAATAAACTTCGAGAACGAAAGTCGAACACTGTACAGCACGATTAAAGATATACAGGTGGCGCTCCAAGCGGCAGTATTACAATTAACTGATTATAGATATATAGGTGTAAAATTAGTTCTAAAAGTCGACACATGTGGTTGAGTGTTGACATCAAGCGCCACTAGTTAATTATAACAGCTTATAAACTGGTCTACATTATTTTTATTATCATTGTACTAGTGGAACTAATGTAGTCATTGGCAGATGTAGACTTTGGTATTAGTTGTAGAGGTTCCCTGCCAGTATTGTACCAATATAAAAGCTGTCATATAGTATGCGGTCTACCAGCAAACATGTTCTACCGGCCGGCAGGCCGCTGAAGGATGCGGTCTACCTGCGACCGGCCGGTTTGTAGACAGGCCTAAGTTTATTTTAGATTCTGAGTGGAACGATGAATGTATTGATTTTACAATGTTGTGTGTTTTTTTTTTTTGTGTCTGTCATCACGTTTTAGGACAGTAAAAGTGCTTGAATTTTCTTCAACAGTAGCTTTTCTGATAGGAAAGTGAATCTAGTTGGTACTTTGGGGGTTCAAAAATGAAAATTTCCCAGTAGTTTTCAAAAGCGGCGTGAAAAAGATGGTGGCGAGGAATAAACAAATTGGATTTATTTAATGCATTTTTGAGAGATATGGTTGAAGTTTTTGTAATATGAACAACATATGTTTTTTTTTTAAATTATTATTATTATTGTATATTTTTTTTTTTTGACAACAATATTTTTGACAAACAAATTTTTAATTATTAATTTTTTTTAATTATTTAAGATAATGCACAATAATGCACAATATTCATCATTTTTGACAACAATTATAGTATAATATTATGATATAATTGATACTTTATTTATTTGTGGTAGACCGCATACTATATTCGCAAATATCAGGTAGACCGCATACTATACTCGTAAATTCACCGGTAGACCGCATACTATATGACAGCCAATATAAATTTATAATTATAGGCGCAAATAGCGTTTTGGATTGGGAGGGCTTAGCCCCTAAAGCCCCCTCCCTATTTGGTCCTATGATTATAAACAATAAACATGATACCACAGAAAAGATGAACAACGTGTAATATAAAAACAAAAAAAGCACCATTAAAAGTTTAAAACGAACCAACAATTTTAGCCTGAAACGATGGCTTACCTACATAAATATTCCTGATACAACGAAATACGACGAGATGCATACTAATCTATTGTTCTGTGCTACAAATAATCGAGCGAGAGAAAGCTGACTGCTGAGCTGTTCGTCGTTTGTTACTTACAGCGGGTTGCTAGATAGGTGGAAACTGGAAGCAAATTTGGTTAACCATTACAAGACAAAAAAAATTGGTGGAATAAATACGTCATGGAAAGTAATTATGGGGATTTTATGGACATTTATTAATATTATGTTGTATAACAACCACAGGTATATAAACATACGTACATATTATGTATGTTTATATATCTGTGATAATAACCTAGCTGTATAATCTGGCTTGTGCGGTCCGGGGACAAATAAAACCTATAATATGGACACTCCATCTGCGGCTGATAGTGATACCTACCTATTATACGACTATAAGAAGCTTTTATTTCTTATCCTTATGTACCTATAGCCAGAGATTAAAGTGAGCCCCCTACTCAGTCCCCCTACCTCCCTCAGACAGCGGTTAAAAAGCGTCCCCTTCAACAAATTAGAATTAACATTATTCAGGGTTAAAAGTGGGATTTCGAAAGGGCCACCCGGCTTCTTTCCCCAAATGATGTAAATCATGTTACATTTGTTTCCCTCTTATCGCACATATACTCATTATGTCTTAGATATAGATTGTATATTTTCTTCTTAAAAAAAAAAAAAAAACTGGGATAAGTATGCTTACACAATCACTGCTTAGTCTGTTAATACATTAGATACATAGCTACAGCCTACATTATATAGATATTCCACACACAGTTATATATGGAACGTTTAAAGCTATATGGATACAGTCATAGGCGCAACTAGGAACATTTTTCTGGGGGGGGGGGATAAAATTATATTGGCACGTGCCCTCCTGTCACTTTTCTATCGACAATTTTTTTATACAACTACCAGTATGGCAGTATCATATAAATGAAAAATTCAGCTAATAAGAATAATAACTACCAACTATTAATTATTATTTATTTTTGTATGTACGATGTATGTATTATTAGAAGTTCATGCGCTAAAAATTGCATAAATTAGCATGCTTTCATGCAATAAACATTGGAAAAATATGCACTAAAAATTTCAGAAATATGCATTTACATACTTTATGCAGACATGCAGTAACAATTTTAATTTATGTACAAAAATGAGAAAAATGTTTGTTTATAGAAAATATAAAGTAATACAATTATTGTCATGGGAATTATTGAAGGAAATAATATTACATAGGTATTGAACGTAAATTATCAGAAAAGTATTGCATTCGATTCGAAAATATATTTAAATCAAAGTAGGTACTCAACCGTAAAAGTTTTTTGTATAAACCGTAATTAATTAGATAAAATAGGTAGGTACCTAATTACTGAAACATATTTTAGAATAAATATTGTTCATTAGAAAATAATATATAGGTAATTATCAAAAATACTGAAGGTTAAATATTTTTTGTTAAAAAAGTAAATTTCCGAAAAATATTTAAACTTATATACATATTCTGATAAAACATTTATTTAGACTTAACTTAACAGAAAAATAGTTTAATAGAAGAGAATTTTGTTAGAAAATCTATTTAGGTATATCGTATCGGATTCCGAAATACATTAGGTACGTTTAAAAACTGGGCGGGCTACAGGCAAAACTGGGTGGGTTAAGCCTACCCAAGACCCCCCCCCCATAGTTGCACCTATGGATACAGTTACTGCAGTAGTCGCCACTAGCCCCCCCTGGAATTTTTTTCCCACTTTAAGCCTTGCCTAATATCTAAGTGACCAATTGCAATCAGACTATAGAAATGAAATTCGCCGAGTTTATAGGTACCTATCTAAATCTAATACTATATATATTAACTTTTATAATCATCTATCTACCGTGTCTGTTTTGCTTCTGTTGAAAATTGAAATATTCATGATTGTTTTTGTTAAAATCTGTCTAATATTTTTTTGGTATGCCTATAATATAGGCCTCGATAATTATACACAATGCCTCTAACCTATAACCTATGTATAATAGCCAGTGGCGTACATTCAAATTTGCTCTGGGGGAGGTTAAAAAAAAATAACCAGCACTAAAACCTTCTCTTTGCAATTAAGTTTCCTAACAATCAAACACATTACACGTATAAATATTAATAGGCAAAATAGCAAAACAAATACAATAAGGTTTACGTAACTCATGGCAGTTAAATATTATTTAATATGCACATAGTAAGTACAGAATATTATAAATATTATATTATTAATTATTTATAATAAAAATTCTATTGATTGTGATATTCTAAATTCGAATGATTTTTAAAGTCTTCCAATGCATGTTTCCAATAATCATATTTTTTTAATACAAATGCTCCCAATTTTTGGTTATTAACACCGGCTTCATTTTTAGTAAAAGCAACACAATATTTCCAATACGCACCATTGTTTACTTCTGAATAGGCCAACCAGGGAAAGTTAATTAGCCATTTATATTGAAATTTCAACCTCAAAACTTTTTGTTGTTTACCGACTACTGATATTTTGATAGGAAAATTGTAATTAATATCAGGGACCCAAATTTTGCTCAAAATTTTTTCTATTTCACTTTGCGTTAACAATTTATTTGTGTAATGTGCAATGTCAAAAATATTATAACTGGAAGATGCACGATTAATATCTGTAGTCGAATGTGTAAACTGAGTGATAGGTGTTTCAGATGCAGATGCAGTTGATGGTAATGACTAATGAGGAACTAGAGGAACTTATAACTGTTTGAGTTGCATTCAATGAATTTGACAATGAATTCATTATTGAGGGTGGTTTCGAAAAAAAAGATTGCAGTTTCGATTGTTTTTTTTCAGCCATGATTACTATTTATTTTACCTTCAAATCCTAAAATATATCGAAATCGAATGATAATGATTATGATGTGATAATAATAATTTTTAACTTAACTACTAATTTACTAAATTTATTTTTTAATCAACGTTAAATTAACGAATTAATTTTTTTATTTGTAAGTTAATTTATTTTGTTTTTCATTTTTTTACATTTCATTATTTGAGTCTATTTTGTTGCCATGTCAAAATTTCAATAATATAGATTATAGACATAATATTATGATATAGTTTGCCGACACTAAAATCTAAAAATAAACAAAAATAAATAAATCAATTACCTATTGATTTTATGATTTTACGGTTTTGTGAGATTATTAATTATTATTAAAAATTATTATTAACAGTATTCACGTTGATAGTTAAAACATTAAAATTAAAAATACCTACTCATCGTATTATGATGTAAGTACACAAATAATATCTGTTTGAAAGACAACTAAAATATATAATACTTATTTATTATTATTTATTACTTATTACTTATGTGATAGGTAACTTCTGTACTTAAAAATACAATATATACTATATCTTTATGTGTATGCATATTATAATTATTAACTTAACTGAGTTAACAAAAAAAAACTTAACTCGCCCAGTCTTGTGTGTTTATAATGAGTCGGTTGAGATAAAGACAATATTAATATGTATTTATATCCGCACGCAACTAACTGACTGTGTACGATCAAAATAATGTCTATTTTGATTGATATACCATATTATACGGCACCCATAATTTCGTTATGAAATCTTTTTTCGTTGTTGGTTAAGTATAGTGTTTACTGTTTACTCAATAGTCATATTATTATGACGTATATTTGTGTACACGGTTGATTAATAATAAGAAATTCATCAATAATATCACATTATTTTTTTATTTTTTTTTGGTCCTGGGGGGGGTTTGAACCCGAAAACCCCCCCCCCCGTATGTACGCCACTGATAATAGCTAGATCTCGGATTTATATGCTTCTAAATATTAAAAAATCCCCGGAATTAACCCGGAATTTCTTCAGAAATCAAGATAAATTTGTGAATAGTTTTAATTAAAAAACAGATTGCCTACCATGTTGTTTTAGTACAAAAAACAAATATAAATATTTAATATAATTTATATATTATATATTTTTAATATTTTTTTTTGTAATATTACTAAAAATAGGTTTAAAAACGACCTAAAACAATAAATACGTGAAAAACATTTATATCTTGGAAATCATGGTGTCAACTGTCAGCATTCCTGAAAAATGATGCAAATGCGTCGAAATCACGGTTTAAGATAGATCTATCTTAAACCGTGGTCGAAATCTTAGCCCTAATAATAGCGCTACACAATTTTATATTTATTCAGAAATAATGGAATAGCATTAATAGCAATATAGTATTGTTAGCCTAAATGTCAAATAAAATACAATACAGAAATTTATATTCAATCGTCATAAGTAAGTTTCTTTTGGTGGCTAGTGGGGGGTATTTAGGTTTTGGGTACCTACACTAAATTCTGGACTGAATATTGAATAACGAACTGATTCGAGTTTGGCTCATTTGGTTAGCATATTTTTTTTTCTTCCACGTGCTTTTGGAAAAGTACCTCAATCGCTATCTATCTGCAGCTTCTGCATCTCTCAATCTCTGACCGATATGACTGATAAGTCTACCCATGATTTTTAATCATAACTCATAAGTCTACCGATATGGAAGTCAGAAGATACTACTTAATAATAATATTATGTTTTATAGCTGCTACCGAGTACCGACTACCGACACACCCGCCAACATAGATAATAAATAATAATATTAATAATACATAATATTTTGTTTATGATGTTTATCATGTATGTTTGCGTACATTGTAGTTTGTTCACACTGCTGTAGTGCTGTCTGCTGTTGTAGTACTGCGGCGGCGCCTCGAGAACGACCGAAAATAATACCAATACATATGTTAATATTATGTAGTTATATATTCTGTCAACTGTCAAGAATCAAGATCACTGTGATTACACCCAAAAATTAACACCGAGTGGCGAGTACCCGACAGTGTTAAGCTCGGTCTACAACTATTGTCCTCAGCTTTGAACAGTTTGAACTTTTTACCGTATTTTTTTAATATACACTATCCATATTTTAGCAGGCAGCTGCCCCGGTAATTCGTTCCGTCGAAACCAATTTTTTTTACCTACCTCTTCCCTAGATTATTGTTGTTGTGCCCACCTATCTGATCCGACAACGACGATCATATCACAGAATATAACAACAATTATTATTATATTTTTTATTTATTTATATTATTACTCTCGGCGGATGCGCGCGCGCCCGTCATCGTTCCGTGTTCCTGCGTTTGAGTGTGCGTACATTATACCTGTGATATTATAGTCAATGTGCGGTGGGTGGTCAGTGGTCACCGTCACGTCGTCGTCTTGATGCGCTCGTCGTTATAATCACTTCCGACATTGCGTCCGGCGAGTATAATATTGACTATTGAGTTATCGCTGCGCAGTTGTCCGTGTGCGGGACATTAGCGGACATGTCCTCCTCCGACGGACGACCGGAGCTGGTTTCCGGCCAACGATGGGAGGCGCGCGCCAGGGTCGATTTCCCCTTGCACTATCTGATATGGTTGCGTGAACACAAACTGCTGGAAGAGAAGCTGGAAGCAACCGGTTCCGGTCAACAGCCCGCCGTCAAGGTAAATTGTGTGTCAACGTTGCTAAAACGCACCGGTGTTCTTCGCATAACTCCTGACAAAAAAAAAGTTTCATTCGATTTGACCAAAAAGTATAATTTTCATTTTAATATTTGTCATGCATATAACGACATAGGTACCTCAAAGTACATTTATCTCATATTCCAACCACAGTTGGCCTAGAGCAATCCCTACCGTACAAATCAATAACGTGACTACCTAGGTATTGATTAGGTAGTCTTAACTATATTTCCCCATATTTTTTCGTTATAGGTATATATATTTTGTTCATTAAAGGTTTTTATAAATATTTTCACTACATTGGAAGAATTCAAAATCTTAATATCATCATTTTTATTTCTTTTTAATCGAGGTACTTTTAATTTTTATTACATTCGTGAAAATCGCTTAGTAATTTATTACTCTAATTCTAAACTGTGAGTGAATACCTAAGTGTTTCTTGTTTTCGTTAGAGTTTAATTTAAAACAAAAAGTATTAATTAGTTCAACTTTTGGTTTGGTACTTTCTAAGAATTTTGGTTTGCAATTTGCTTAGTTAAGTAGACATTTTTTTTTATAAAATATAGGTATATTTGGAAAAAAGATTATTTGGTGTAACTATACTTTATAAACTTTGTATTACCAATAATTACAATTTCACAACCATTTATATAACCAAAGTACCTATTAGGTATACCTAGGCATTACATTTAATGAATTTTAATGTACTACTATTTTTGTTACTGAAACATTAATTTTATAATAACTGAAAATTTGCTTTTCTGTATTCGTAATTGGTGACATATGTAGTAACAATAGGTGTGCACAGGATTTTATGTTCTTTTACACATCTTTAACAGTTTAACCCGTCCAACAGAAAATAAAGTTGCCCCCGTTGGCCATTTACTTCCCTCATTATGGTATAGGCAAAAGGTGTGCGAGGTAAAAATTATGTACTTGCATCATTCAATTATAATTTGATAAAGTATTATGGGCATCTATAAGTGTATGCAGTGCCATGGTTTAACAGTTATTGCCTGTCAAAAGAATAATGTATATGGTGGTCTCCGTACTACAACTACACTATTACAGTACAAGTAACCACTCGCATTGATTAACATTTTTCATTTGAACAACATTGAACATTCATATTTTAATTTAATTTTAAATTCAATATTTTTAAAATTATTCATCTATATGAACCTTTTAAATAAATTGTCATATGCAATGAAAGCATAATTTGCTGTACCTGCGCGATGACCTATGTTAGTGCCTATTATAGATACAATTTTATTTGATGCTTTAAAGAATTAAATTATAATTTTTGTGGTACAACTGTACAAGTATGAAGTAATATCAATAAAACTGATTTATTACATGTTAATATATTAGGTAATAAAAAAATATATACGTTTACAGGAACACTCATTTATGTGTTAATTTAATTATATTTTGTTAAAAAATATTATTTTAAAAATGTTTATGAAAATCAGTAAGTAAGATAATATTTATGTTAAATTATGTACACCTACAAGTAAACAATATCTAATACAATTAAATTAATTAAATTATTACATAGCAATGGCTTCTTAAAAGCATAAATCAATAGACATGTACCTATGTTACAAAAAAAAAAAAAAGTAAAATGTCCAATATGTTACAATACCTTTACACATAATCTTCTTAACTTTTGAGAATACTTGTCACAAAGTTTATTATACTTGTCTTTCAATCATGAACATAGTTAATTTAGTAGTTTCAGAATAACAATTATACTCTAGGTACTTTACTACTTTACTACATTACTACATTACTGTATGAGCTTATTGACCAATACTTATATGAAACTTTTGTTCATAGACAACAGACCAGATTTATACTAGTGTTATTATAAAAATAGATACTTGTCTTAAATGTAAAATAATAAAGTCAAACATAAAATGTTGTATATTAGTTATTTATAGATCATTTGTCCATTTAACAATAATATAATACCTGAATCGTGGACATTTCCCCTCAGACTGTTTTTCTGTTTTTGGTGTTGTAGCCAGTAGGACATTTCCCCCCCCCCCCCCAATTTTTTTTAAAGTTTACAATTTAATAATATTATTTTATGGTTTAATATGAAATTATTTTTTTGCATATTTTCTAATATTTTCAAATATCTTCATAAATATAATAAAATATAGATGTATATTTTTGATCAACTGAACTACTTAAATCAAATTCAAAAGCAATTATTAAGTTGTTAAATATCCAAACTGGTACAGTTTTAACAAAAAAAAAAAAATTTGAACAAAGGCTAAAAAATATGACGTGTTTAGAACAGTGGCGTACACAGCTATTTTCAATGGGGGGGGGCTTACATATAAAAAAATTATATATATATATATATATATATGTATCTAATATATAAAATTCTCGTGTCACAGTTTTCGTTGCCATACTCCTCCGAAATGGCTTGACAGATTTTGATGAAATTTTTTGTGCATATTCAGTAGGTATGAGAATCGGCTAACATCTATTTTTCATACCCCTAAGTGATAAGGGTTGTCCAGAAAAAAATAAAAGAAGTGCTCAAACAGGGATTTTGATAATTTTCGGTAGAAATAATTGTTTATAAATGGTTGCTAAGGTATTGGTTATATATATAAAAAAAAAAAATAATAGATACAACATCTTTTATATTTAAAAAGAAAAGAAAAGAAAATAATTTCTTTTTATCATTATTATTATTTATATAACCATGGCAACCATTTACAAACAACAATTTCCATCTGAAATCTCAAAATTCCCGTTTGATTCCCGGGATTGGTCCTCTCCCTTTTTAAATTAGCCTATGTTTTAAGTTGGATCAAAATACACACAGTGTAACAATTTCATCAAGATCGGAACAGTTGTTTTTACGAATATTGAATAACGAATTGAACAAAGTTTGAGACATATTGAGTTGATACATTTAACGGGCGACGAAGTGCACGGGATCAGCTAGTATATATATATATATAATACATTGATGAATCAAAACGATGTACCTATAGTAATTATTTTGTACATAATGAGTAATCGGCTCATTAGCAATGACTTAAGGTGAAATTAAAAATATTTTTACAATTCTCGATTATTATTTAAAAAATATATACCTATTACCTACAGGTAATTATTTAGTATAACTACAAAGTTACACGCGTACATACAATATGTATATAATAATATATTATATACAATTCAATAAAAGATAGGTATAAAGAGAAATTTATTTTTACCATATTAATCATTTTTTTGTACCTAGGTCCTAGGTTGATAATATAATGTATTAAATATTTACCCGGTTCCTCCGAGTTAATTGTATCATAAATTAGTGAGTTAGAAAAATATTCGTTTATTCTTTTCATTTGTATTGTTTTATAAAATATTTAAACAGTAAGGACAATTTACTAAACGTCCAAAGCGTCAGAAATTTGATTGAAAACTGAGAAATAGATTCTATACTATAGTATTAGCGATACTGAGATAGCTATTAAGGCATATTATATCGGATTACACGATTGTCGACCCTCATGTTTGTGTTTGAACAAATTTCCCAATAATTTCATTAATTTGTAACAAGTTATCAATAATATCTACAATATATTATAACAACAAACTGGGTTGCTTATAAGTTATAATATAATGGAGTATAATTTGGAATATAATATTTTTTTAAATTGTCATCATTTTTACTATACATTTTTACGTTATTACGTAAACTGAACAAATACTAAAGGGGGGGTTTGAACACCCAAACCCCCCCCCCGTGTGTACGCCACTGGTTTAGAAATATCAAAAGATTGGGTAATCAAATGTTTTTTACAAAATGTATCATTTTTATGTCTGAATTTTTAGCCATTTTTATTAATTATTAATTATATTCTATTTGATATTTTTTTTTAAATTGTTATTGTTTCAAGTAGTTCAGTTGATCAAACATATACATTTACCCCCGCATTTACATATAATCTATTATATTTATATATTTATGAAAATAAAAAAATGTTTATATTTTTTATATTTTATTTAAAAAAAATAATTTTATATTAAATAATAAATAATATTGTATTAAAATATTCAATATTTTTAGTTAATAATAAATTTAAAAAAAATGAGGGGAAAATGTCCTCATCAAAAATATTATATCGGGGAGGAAATGTCCATTTACCATAATACCTTTGTCATTATTTTGAACATTAAACTAAGATAATAACGATTGGTTAGATTTTTCCTCGATTTTTTCTCTATAATTACCGATTTATAACAAGAAAAAAAATATTTGCCACTTAACACCAGTGCTCGTGTAGAAGTAACTCGTGCTATGGTACACACTGTAAAGTAGTAAATGAAGATGTTGTCCAACAAAAAAAAAAAAATTTAGATTTGTATAAATATTTGAATTGTTATAATTTATACACTTAGATAGTTAGCAATTTAAAAATTATTTATTAAAAAAGAAAAAGATTTGTGGCTTTTGACTTAGACAGATATTCTTGCTTATAATTAAATCATTTTATGGAGCACAAATTTGTTGTGTACGAGACTTATTTTTAGTGCTCTTGCTGTCAGTAACTGGGTAAACACTAGGGGGGAAGGAATAATATACTAACCAAAATCAAAACCCTGAGCTTCCCCCTACAGTTTAATTATATTTTTATTCTATGTATTCCAAGTGTTTGTTTTTACACAAGTCACCCAAAAATTTTAGCAGTGGCAAGTGCCCTCCTCCTTGCCCCCCTACATTTACGCCACTGTTGTGCCATACCCTATAAGGACATTAGTCACACCATAAATCCATTTTCTCAATTCTTTTTTATTTTAACATTCTACCATTCTAAAGATCTTAAACAATAAATGCACATTATTTTTGGTATGTATATATCGAGGTATATATTATATAAAAAAAAAAGTTTTTTTCATTGACATCCTATATATGATATATCATAGAATTTGTTATGCACCTTACGCAAACCACATGAGCTACTTTTAACATACCGTTGCTTTAAATTTATTGTATGGGTAAATTAATTTAATTTGTCTATTGTTTATTTGTTTTTGTTTTAGAATCAACTAGAAAAACTAGATCCCAGAGGTCGCACTCCTTTGATGTTAGCTATTACGTTAGGTGACATAGAATCAACCAGGTTATTAATAACCAGAGGAGCTAATGTCAATGTAAAGAACGACGAAGGATGGACTGGTAAAAAAAAATCAATTTTTGTTTGACAATGTTCTAAATCATTAATATAATTTGTATAGCTTTACAAGAAGCAATTGCTACAGGCGATCCAGAAATGGTCAAGCTTGTTATGGAACACAGAGATTATCAACGTCATTCAGATCGAGCCACTGACGTTTCAAAACTGTTAAAGCTACTTGAAGAATCGCCTGATTTTTATGTAGAAATGAAATGGGAATTCATTAGTTGGGGTAGGTTTTTTGAATCAAGAATTGTTATTTTGAGTCAGATTTATAACATTGTTTGGTTTTTAGTTCCATTAGTATCAAGAATGTGCCCAAGTGATACATACAAAATATTTAAACAGGGATCTAATGTGCGAATCGATACCACATTATTGGGTTTTGACCAGGGTAATTGGGAACGTGGAAATTTGAGTTACATATTTTTGGGTCAAAGTAAGTGAAGTTGATTATTTATATTTATTTGCATGGCTTATGTCAATTATGTTGTGATATTACAGCTGCAACACTTTACAAATCAGAACGAACGTTCATATTTCAACTTAACGAAGGTTAAATCTTTCATAATAACAAAATATAACTTATCCAGAATCAATTTTAATTGCCTAATATATAGTTTTCCAATCTACAATTGTTTTAATTTTTAGTATTAATAAACTTATAATATTTGTTTGTAGGTTTGAGGTATGCTCTCTAAGCAATTTTTATTATATTTTGCATTTAATACCCTGGGTTGATATATTTTTTAATTTATAAGATTTTAAAATTTTATATGTTGTGAAATTTCATAATTTGGAAAGTAGTAATGAGTGTAGCATTAAAAATATTATTATAATTTTAATGATTTGTCGTTCATGTTAACCATTATTTAGTAGAATAATATACACACATATTACTTAAATTTGAACCTTAAAAGCACAGGTTTCCTGATAGATTGTATATTATACAAAAAAACTCATTACCTATAATAAGTTATTAATTATAGTACTATTACCTTATTATGATTTTATTATTAGAAATTGACCTTGTATTCTATAAAATAGATTGTTATTAACTATGGCTTATTTTGTAAAGTTATTAAAACTGTTTGGACTTAATCAAATGCTTAATATTTTGTTTTATTAGGTAAATCAGCTACATTTTTAGAAGTAGATCATGAAGCACACAGGGTATATGTAGAAGAAATACAAATGATACCTTTAGATCAAGGTATTGAAGTGATGCGTCCATCCGATGATACTATAGCCAGCAGATTGTCTGCTCCTATTGTTAGTTTTGATATAGATACTAAAAAAATTAGTTTTGAAAGGTATTCTATGAAGATTTTATGAGACATTTACAAAAATATTAATGTTTTATTTGTATTATAGGAATAAAAGTGGTATTTGGGGTTGGCGGCAAGATAAATCAGAAATAATTAATGATTATAATTGTAAAGTATTTAATGCAAGTAATGTGGAATTTGTTACCAAATCGAGAACAGAACATATGAATGAAACTGAAAAAGCAAAATTAAATAATACAAAAAATCCCATCCAGTCAATTTTAGGCTCAAGTGAAGAAACATGTGTAAGTTAATAATTTTAAGTTTTTAATTAAGTATTTTGTATTTAAAATATTTCCACTTAGCCAGTTAAATCAGAACTTGAAGTTACTATGGCTGAATATTTTGACGAATTGGTTGATATCAAAGGAAGATATATACGGAAGCCAATTGAGCAAACTACAAAAGTCACAAAAATCAAGGTTAGTTTAAAATAAGTATAAAATTAATATAAAAATAATATATAAATATATTATATATTATATTAATATAATTAATATAACTTATATAAAATAAGTTTAAAGTAAGTATACAATTTGAATCATTAATATCATGAATTAAAATATTTTCAGGCTAATTTATGGCTTAGTGAAGATTATCCACTTAGTTTGAAAGAACAGATTATGCCAATTGTAGATTTAATGGCAATTACAAGTTCTCATTTTGCCAAACTAAAGGATTTCATTGAAATGCAGCTACCTTCAGGATTTCCAGTTAAAATTGGTATTTAATCTGTCAACTATAAGTTAAATAATAAATATTTAAATGGTTATTATTTTATAGAAATACCACTGTACCATATTTCTAATGCCCAAATCACATTTGGTAACTTATTTGGGACGGATAAAGCTATAGAAGGTGTTCAAACATTGGAAAACAATGGAAAAATATTCTGTGTAGTTGAAGATTCTGTATTTTTCCCTCCCAGAAGTTATGTAGTCCTTGGTAAAATACAATTTTTAATACAATTTAAATGGTGTACATTTGTACTAATTAAATTGTTATTTGTTAAAGGTGCTGAACAAAGACGACAAATTGGTATGGACAATGATGAAGAATTACTTCAATTTGCTGTTCGACAAAGTCTTTTAGAAACTGGAGCTGAAGAAGATCAAGTAAGTTGTTACACAATATTTTTATATTTTTACAATATTAATTTAAAAATTATTAATATTTTTTTATAAGGTTGATATTTGGGAAGCTTTACAAGTTCAACGACCAAATACTCCCAATGACCTCTATTTTGATCCAGCTGATGAAGAATTACAAAGGTACAAATATGTCCAAATATTTTATGATACGTATTTTTCAATATAAGTGTATTTAAACAGGTTACCATTTAAAAAGAGAGGACAATAAAACGCTTGATTCCTCTAATTTGAACCTTAAAATAAATCTCCCTTGGACCAAGTTGTTTAGTATTTTAAAAATATTGGTTATTAACTTATTACCCAACTAATATATTTAGTGTCAAATTATACCTTTGCTTGGCTTGTATGTACATTTAGTTAATTTCCTTGTAGAGCAATCCATGCAAGTTTGACCGAGTGTACATTTGTGCCTGCGGTTTCACAATCAGAAGCACCAGACTTAGTTGAAAATTCAACTGCCGATGATGCAGATGCTGATCTTAAAGCAGTATTGAGGTTGTCTATTGAAGAAAAAAGGCAGGCTGAACTACAGGCACGTATGGAAGAAGAAATGTTAGAAAAAATATTACAACTCTCTTTGACCGAAAAATAATTTATTTTTATTTATTATTATTTGTTTATTATTGTTTTAATTTCTGTGTCCCATTAAAAATTTAAGAACTAATTAAAATACAAAACTAAATGATAATTGTAAGATGGTGAATTAACATTTATAAAGAGTATAAATTTAGATATATTTTTATACTATGAAAATATTTTTGATTTAAATATGAGCAATATATATTGCCTGTAGTTGTATGTATTGCAAATTCCCTATGTATTTCACATTCACCTCTCCGATTATCAGCTAATTTTATTTTATTACTTTATTCTTATTTATAAGACATTTTTCTGTATCTAGAATATAATTTATATAATATGAGAGTAATCGTAGGCGATGACTGATTGGTGTCTGGTTTGGTCTTACCACACTCCTAGATTAAATCAACTTTCATTGTTAGCTTTCGTTTCCGGCGATTTGCCGCCTTAAAAATTACTTTACTGTGTTAATCTTAGCTAAATGCAAACTAGGCGGTTGTTGAAATAATAAAGTGATGGTCCTAAGAGTATGTCACTCTGCACATGTTATCCACATCCCCATTAATGCTGCCATACGCAGAAGGCCGCCACCTGAGGTTACTCTTATGTAAAACAGAGTATATATTATATATATATATATATATATATAGAAATATAAAACATTTCTAGTTAATTATTTTGGTCGTTAGATAAAATATAGCCTCGTTGGAATTCCTTTTTTTTTAATATTTAACTAAATTTTATTAATAGTAAAATATTATGTAAATTATTACAAATAATTCTCCCTGTATTTTAATATTTTTTTAACAATAATTTATTATTTATTTGTAAATTACACCCAAATGTATTATTCACTTATTTTATTACTTTCGTGTATCAATTTTGCAGCAAAAGACTTAAAATGTTTAAACCTAAAATACCTATTAGTCTAATATTGGCATGCTTATTATATTTCTCCTAAGCTTTTCAAAAAAAAATTATTTATAAAATGTTTATATTTTTTATCATTTTTAATCTAAAATATGTGTATGATTGAGTAGTTTTAATTACTATATATTATTATGTATAATATATATATTTTTTTGTTAAACTCTTTTACAATTATGTTTATTACTTGTATACTCATTATCCACTATCCACTATTCAATCCTATTTTTATTGAGTTTTTTTAAATGTATTCAATTATTTAATAATATAAATTATGTTAATTTATTATTATTAAATATTTATTTAACCATTTTCCATTAACAAAAAAAATAAAAATATAAGAAAGGAATATTTGTAGCTAGTCAGAAGTTAATTAATTATTATATTTTGTGCTGTTAAATATATTATTAAATCATTCATATATCTACATACCTAATATTATATTACACGTTTTTAATATTGCCATTTATTAGATATTGTATCTGTTGATATTTAATAGCTAATGATTAAGGTATTATCTTATTAGTGATAATTATTTGTTATTAATGTAAAGAATAGTAAAATTACTAGATGTCTGATACTCTGATGAGTCTGATGTACAAGAGAATAGTACTGAACATTAATATCAAGAGTAATCACTGATAATTATTCTTGAGTTCCCGAATCTATATTGCTTGGCGATTTCTTTAGTTTAATTAATTTAAATGTTTTAATTTGATCCCTAACTACAACTGTGAAGACTGAATAGCTTTTATAAAAAAAAACAATGGTTTATTCAAAATTATTTACTAGAAACAATACAAGCTAGCACAATATTACAGATTAGAATAACACTAAAGTTATTGCCAAATCAACATGTTATTTTAACTTCGAGACGGTTTGAGTTGCACTTTTTTTAGAACAATGAGCGTGTTGTTATAATTTAGCATGTAGATAGGTACCTACTATATAATGTAGCAAAATATATTTCATTCTAAAGTCTAAAATACATACGAGTAGGTAGTGAGGTTGACAGCCGTTGCCTGTAAAAGAAAACAATTTATATGAATTATAAATTGGCATTATACTACTATGGACGTGGGTAGTTACAGTATGTATATGCCATTATATGTCAGAACTCAAAAGCCAGTAGGTTGGTACCAGAAACAAAAAACAACTGTCAAAAGCGCCATTATATATTTATCAGCTAAATAACAATATTGCTGATGATGGATAATCGTCAGATTTGTTATACACGTCTTGTACCTCTACCTACGTCTGTTGTTTAAAAAGAAATTTGAATATAGAGCATTTTATATCGTTTCTATATAATAATTTTAAAAAAACAACGTCAATAATGTGTGATGGCGAAGAATGGGTACAATAAAATAGCTCAACGTCCGATTTTTTGGTATTATTATGACATTTTGTAGTGTTATATAACCTACCTGTCAGATTAAAAAAAATACCAAAGTTTTGTTTTGATAACGGCGGACTATACAAAATTAAAAAAACAAGTACCTATACAATATTATATAGGTACACGCATAAATCATTTTTAGTTCATAACTTAAAATATAATATCCTATAGAATATCTTAGTACCTACCCGCCTACTATAACGAGACTTAACGACAGCGATGAAGATTTTGGGCTGTATTTGACTTTCGTCAATAGAATGGTTTTTTTTTTACAAGTTTAAAATAAAATGTATCGTAAATTCTACAATATTAAGTGTAACAGGTGTAATATTCATAATACTTAGTGTTATTCAAAACCTATTAGTCGTTATCGCTAGCTGACATAAAAATCCATTTTAAGGTAGGTACTACACCATGGTTAAGTACCTATGACCTATGTGAAGTTTTATTTTGCATATTTATAGATTTTGGCTATTTGGCTTATTTATGGGTTAATCTATTTTATTGGGCATATATTTTAGCATATTTATGGCCAAAATTGTATGTAAAATGCAATAACTTATATTTTTGCACTGTATAAAATTAAAAATATATTGGGCATTGTATCAAATGTTCAGATTTAAATTGAATGACTGACTGGATAGTGGATATTCATTTTATTAGATTATTTAAATTTATTTTTCAGTATTAAATTTAAACAAATAAACAACTTTTAAAAATATTAATACCTATTTCTTGTAATTCAGAAAATACTCATGATTTCTTTTTTTTATTCCGCATAAATAAATAAAACAATTTTTAAAAATATTAATGTATATTTCTTGTAAATCAAAAAAATACTCATGATTTTTTTTTTATTCTGCATATTTCTGAACTTTTTAAGGCATATTTCAATAAATATTTTGCCAGTTTTTAATTCATAAGTTCATGCTTATTAGTTTTTTAGGCATTTTCTAGGTCATGAAATTTCGAGCATTAGCTAGACCCCGGTTCTTATATATAAGAGCGCTGGTCTTACAATACCTCGTGTAAACCTATAAAATATACTAGACTTAGGATAGGTATTAATAGGTACATCATCAAACAACCTAGGTATATTTTTTTTCGTTTTGAACCGACTCAGTGAAAAGGAGGCAGCGTTTAACCATATAGCAGTTCATACTACTCCACTAGTCTGCCCAAGGGGATTACGCAAATCATTCAACTTCAATACTTCAAGTGATGGGCTATGTAGTATGTATAATGATGTACCTATTTCAGTGTAAAATCTAATGTGTAGTTATGTCTATAGTTAATATATTGGATTAGGGTATCACAACTCAAGTCAATAATTATGTAGAAAATATGGTATCTGTACATGCGCGTAGGTATACATGGGGGTTTAATGGTCCAAACCTAAACCGAAATGTTTTCAAACAATATTATTTTCGACATGCAGCTATTATATTATTATTTTACCTATGTAAAATACAATTTTGAATTTTTTTAAATATTATTTTGGATCAACTATTTGACTACCTATATTAACGTTCACTCGTTCTACACAATACATATTATTATTTACAATTCTTGTATGGTTTATAGGTATAAAAATCCATGTCGTATCCGCCGGTGTAATGCGTTATTTTATGATTTATTTCGCAGTTATTCGTCACCTTCAGTGTTTGATAGCTTAAATATTTCTTGGAACTTATTATAATATCCGTGTAGCGTTTATACTGCAGGTCTACGCCCTACGGTTTAAAGAGTTTTTTATTTAAGGGGATTCGATACCGTGATATTCTGTTTTTGTCTAACACACGCGTGACATAGTATTTTAGACGTGTTTTTTATAATATCAAAAATGTGGGAAAGTCGATTTCAAGTAGACTTGACGACAAATTCAAATCTGTTTTCAGAATTCTTATCGCTTCATTAGATAAATTGGTATGTTTGGCAAAAAAACACATCTAAAATACTATGTCGAGCGTGTGTTAGACAAAAACAGAAAATCACGGTATCGAATCCCCTTAAAATATATATTTTAACGATTTTCTAGTCTTTAAATCTGTAACAATTGATTATACACTCGACAAAACGAAAAAAAAGAAACAATATTTTTTTGTTCACATAAAAATATGTTTATTATAAGGGCCGAAAATAAGAAAAAAATCGAAATTTACATGTGTGAACAACAATTTAACAATTTGGAATAACTTAAATTTGAAGAAAAAAAAATACGACGGACAGGATAGACACAATAAACCAGGGGGGAGGATGCAAGATGGCGATTGGTGCGGAAATGTAGTGTTGCTGGCCACTGGTCACCTCTGCACGTTGTCCGACCTGTCCCGCTGGTTGGCGAGTGTCACTGGCGCATTTGCTCGGACGCTTGACGACCTTGCCCAGCCGGCGAGGCAAGACCGAGACGGCTACGGGAGCGACCACGGTTGACGTCGACGGACGGCTTCTAGTGCTCGATGTCGTGTGGGGCGAAAAGGCGAGAGTCAGCGGACCACAACGCGTGATCCTCGACTCTCGGTAATTTTTGCCCTGGCGTTGTCCCTTTGGCCGCCGCGTGCCGTCAGACCCTGAAATGGTTAAGTTTCTGCGACCCCGACGCCGCTGACGTCCCCGTGTTTCTAGCACGCAAATCTCCGTACCACTCACCCCGTGCCGAGGTCTCCGGCGCTGCCGTCGTACCGAGT